TATTAATAAGAAAAACAGATTAATATATTCGATTTGAAAATCATTTGAAAATAAAAATTTAACGAAATCAAAGAATTAAAAAGTTCTCTTAATTGTCTTTGTTTGTTGTTAATCAATGAATTATATTATTTTCATAATAAAATACACGTTCCACTAGTCGAATTTCTTGGACATTTACATCGTTGATCTAAAGGTACATCTTTCAATGTTTGTTCAATATGTTGACCACATCCTAATGAAAAAAAAAATCCCTAGGTCATATTGAAATTTGGAATATTTTCATACCTGCCCATGTTGGCTTTCCACATTTAGAACAAGTTGTTTTTCTACACATTTTATCAAATCTAAAACATAAAATTTGCTTTTTTCTTCGATATAGATGAAGAAAAAAAAACTCATAGTAAATGATCGATTTGCATTTTCTTTTAGTTGAAAGAAAACGAAAAAAAAATTCAATAAAAAAGTAAATAAACGAAACATAAAGTGGATCCTTTTTTCACATATACATAACAACAAAACAGAATTAAACTCAACGTTTGCTTCTCTTTCTCACGAAAAAAAAAAACGCTTGAAAAATTCAATCAATAATAAATATTTTTCTCTCCAAATCTCTATTCACTTGGAATGACCATCGTATACACTTAACTTATGCAACTGATTTTATTCTCAAGAAGATTGTTCATCGGACATTGCATTTATGATCGAACATCAATACCATCTGTATCGTTGGAATAGTCAACTGACTATCCGATAGCCATTTCGATTCCTCTGTTTTTGCTTTGAATAGACATCGACATTCATAGATCGATTTTCCGAATGTATCACTGAGACGATAGATTGATGACTCCCAGTCCGATCGTTTCTCAACATTCAAACGATTATTATCGAGGAAATTAGGATTTCGTGTAAATAAAAAGATTTTTCTTCTCACGATGTCTTATTTTCGAGCCTTGAAAATCTCTCCGATATATGACTGAGAAGAGATCTGAAGATGATCACTCGAAATTGACTTTAATCGAACATCTTCTATAAGAATGATCTTTTTAACTTGTTAGAAGATTGAATTTTCAAATTTATTCAAGAAAAAATAAAACCTTTTCACGTTTCTGATTGTTAATAGAATTTTTTTTTATTTGAAATTATCTTTAAATGAATTAACTGATTTTTATGATGAAAGATCATATTGATATATAGATATTGTTTTAACAATTGAAAAGATGAAAATTCGTTAAGAAAGTATCTTTGGCAAAAAAAAACATCAACGAGTTTCTATTCTTCTTTTAATCAATTGATAAGAAATTGTCATTAGAAAATTGTTAAATTTCGATTTGTTCTAAGATTATTAAACAAAGTAAAGAATATTTGAAAATGAAATATTGAACAAGTTTTGTCTTCTAAAGATTAGATTTCAGCTGAGAAAATTATTATTCTGGTGGATTTGTCTCTATTGAAGTACTTGAATATGTTTATTTTTCTCGATTCGATAGTATTCTTTGGATAGATCTTCTTGTTTTTCCGAGTATTCGAAACTTTCGATAAGTATCGAGTGGTCGAAATTCGAAGAAAACGATGAAAAAATCTCAATTCCAAATATTTCATCACTCGTCTGATTGATCATATGTTTTTTTGTCTCTTTGATTCGTAACATGAACATTCCTTATTATAAATAAATCTTTGAGAGATAAAGAGAGAAAAAAATATTTCTGGTTTAAGATAAATATTTGTATTTAAGGTTGATATATCAAAGATGAAAATTAATTAATAATCTTAATTTGTTTGGAATGACAAATATTAGGTTGGTAAGAAATTTTTGACGTTTTTTTCGAAAATTTTCTTTTTATTTTTTAACTTAAAAAATACAACTAGCTTTCAACAATGTATGCTCCATTTCTATCTATGACCTATCGCCAACGCTCTGGCAGAGAAAGGATCCTGCGTTCGTACAAGTCCTGGGACTTTTGGCCGAAGAAGTTGACGAGGTCTATTTGGAGGTCGTTCTCGTCGTCGAACTTTTTCTCGCGCAATTGATTAGAAAGAGAATGGAATAGATGGTAGTCCGTAGGAGCCAAGTCTAGAGAATAAGGTGGATGTGCAACCGTAACCCATCCGGGCTTCAATAATTTTTCACGCATTAACTTTGCAATGTGAGGTCTGGGATTGTCATGTAAAAAATAAATTCTATCCTACTTGCCCTGGAGTTTTGCTGCAGCTCGGTCCAATTGCTGACAATAGAGATCAGCAGTGATGGTACAATTAGTTGGAAGAAGTTCCTGATGAATAGTTCTTTTTACTCCCCACCAAACGCCCAGCATAATCTTCTTTGGATGAAGGTCATCTTTGGGCGGTGGTAAACCTGTTTGTCCAACTCCCAGCCACTGTCGTTCGCGCGTATGGTTAACATATAACACCCACTTTTCATCGCCGGTAATAAGATTGTGGAGCTATTGGTAGTTGTGGTGAGACGTCATTAATTCCATACAAGTATCCACGCTGTATTGAAGCTGATGTAGCGACCAATCATGCAGTATCCAAAATCCATATTTTCACGTTCTGCCTAATTCACCCAGATGCTTGTTCACTGTAGTATGAGAGCATCTAAGTCGCTCTGCTAAACACTGTGTAGTCAATCTAGGATCTTCTTCGATAAGCTGCTGCAAGACATACATATCCATCTCTAGTAGTCTTCCAGAATGAGGTAAATCGTCGAGTTCGAAGTCACCGTTCTTGAATCGATTGAACCAACGTTGCACTGTACAGATGGAGAGTACATATTTCCCCATTGTGCTGTATACGTTACTTGTTGCTTCCTTTGCTTTGTGATCCAAACTGAATTCATGAAACAGAAGCACTCGGAGCTCTCTACGAGATATTTTCATTTCTGATTTGACATCAACGTCTACATCCATTGTTTTGTTGCTGTTCGAAAGATATTCGTACCTCCATTATATACCATTAGTATAGAAACTTCTAGAACTTTCTCGACTGTTCTAGGAAATTCTTAAAAAAAAACGTCAAAAATTTCTTGCCAACCTAATAGTCTCTTGTGCACAACTAAAAATAAAATCAGATATTTCCTGAAACTTTTCAATTCAATTTATAGAATGGTATTTATCAGAGCTCCACATGAAATGGGATGGGATTAGAAGTGTAAGCCGATGTATTTATTGACGACAGCGGCTGTAAAAATTAAGATATTTTTACTTTCGGCAGTGGCTCGAAAACTTTAGCTAAACGGTGACAACGGTTGATAAGGTCAAAACTGAAAAGCTTTTTGAAAAAGTTCATTTATTGTTGTACTTTGCTATGGTTCTGCTATTTGGTGAATTGTCCACAAATGATTTTTCCAGTTCCCAGAGGCATTTGTCGCCTTATGCACGCCAATATTTTTTCGAATAGAGAAAAAACTAATATCAGGTTGTTCATCTTTTAATTTATCGAAACAAATTTTATAATAAATTCATTCAATATTCAATGGTTGATTGGGTAGACTTATACGAATAAAAACGTTTTAAAGTAAATTATGTATACTCGTCATGCCATGTAAAAGATAAAATTATAAACCAAATTAAAATTATCAAACTATTAATAATGTTTTTCGCTATCGTTAGTACATGATCATATTGCTTCATGCAGGCATACAACAGAAAAAGTTAGTTGAAAAGTTAAACTAATCAAGAATTAAATAAAAGCAAATGTGAAAAATATAAAATTTGATTGTTTTACTATCAAGGGAATTTATTTAATGAAAACATTCATTTCGATTGATGAGTGTGGGTGTGAGTGTGGGTGTGGAATGGTGTAGGTGTGGGTGTGGAATGGTGTAGGTGTGGGTGTGGGTGTGAGTATGAGTGTAGGGTGTGGATGTGGCTGTGAATGTGGGTATCAGTGTGGATGGGGATGTGGGTGTGAGTATGGATGTTCTTTACTTACACTGCACCCACCTCTATACCCACACCCACAGCCACATCCACACGGCCATACCCACACCCTCATTGCATAGTGCATGTATAAAATTCATTTCATTAATCAAATACGCAGAAAGATAGGTTCAAGAAAAGAGAGCGAAGCGCTCATTGAATAACAACCAGAAACGTAATCCTAATTTGAATACGTTCGAATATATCAGAGTCTTTCGATAATTTTGTTTATTGTCCAGTTTTATTTTTCTTGTTAAGATCTGGCTGAGAGTGGGTGAGAGTGGATTCATAAAAATAGTATTTGATTCTTTTGTCTAAGATTTATTGAAGAAAATGGGTCGGAGTGGGGTCTCATGAATGGAGAATTTTATACTCTATACATCGATACTATCTTCGAATGAAACGGCGGTCAGAGTGGGTGAGAGTGTATTTTGGTAATACCCACATCGTACTAAGTAGAGCGCGTTGGTTCCATAGTTCTCGAATCTTGGATACGACTCATAGATACTTTTTCAAGTCTAGATTCAGAACTAATTCGACAAGATCTGGCATTGATCATATTGAATATTTTTGAAACCAGCAGCTACTGAGAGTTATTTTTCGGGATTTATTGAAACTTATTTAAAAGTTTCTAAAGATTTTGAGATGAATTTCATATGATGCCTTATCCTGAAATATCATCAGCATTAATAAATTCTCAAAAACAAAAACAACACCCGTAGAAACAAATGAATTCCAATAAATTAAGTCATGATTGTCGCTCCATAAAGAAAAAAGAAAAAAAGATATTTGATGTTTTGATGTGTTATTATTCTTTCTCAAAGAGTCACCTTTACCGACTTATGATAATAACTCGGTCATAAAAAAGAAACGGTAAAAGAATATTATGTCTTATCATGAGCAACGAAAAGGTAAGTCATCAAATAGACAAATGATTATGCCTTTTCTTTTGTTACTATAAAAAGATAACTTTGTTTGACTTTGAGATGCATTCTTTCAAAAAAAATCTGATACGATTATACGTCGAGTCGGCAATCCTTTTTTTGTTTGTAATTATCGTCATAAAATTCAACTCATTTTCATATGGCCTATAAATTTCCAATTCAAAGTATCGCAAGCAAGCTATCTGTAAGTACAAATGATAATGAAAATAAAGAAAACATAACACTTATTTGGTTTGATCCAAATATTGGATCACATGAAGACATTGAAAAAATAAAGCAACAACTTCGTCTGATCAATGATTATGTCATTTTTTCGACTGATTTTGGACATTGCATTAAACTTATTCAATCAATCGATAAAGAAAAAATCTTTTTAATTACATCAGGATCAGAAGCAAAACAAATTTTATCACGAAAATCTGCGTGCGGTCAAATTGACTCAGTTTTTATTTTTTGTACGAACAAAACTCCACATGAACATTTGTTAAATGAATATGAAAGAATCATTGGTATATATGTCAATCTTGATGACTTGTATCAATCAATTAAAGAGAAATTAAACTTTATAGATAAACAAATACAAGCATTTTCGTTTTTTGACCCACATGAGAAATTAACGGAAAAGTTATCGAAAGAATCAGCAGCGTTTCTTTGGTTTCAATTATTTAATTATGTCATTAATCAACTTCCACGAAATCAACAAGCAAAGCAACAAATGCTTCACATATGTAAAGAATATTATCGTGGTAATAGAAAAGAAATAAAATTAATTGAAGAATTTGAAAGAATGTATCGATCAAAAGATGCTATACGCTGGTATTTAAAACAATCTTTTGTTTATAAGTTAATCAATAAAGCATTAAGAACAGAAGATATCGATCTTCTCTATATATTTCAATTTTTTATTAGTGATCTTTCTGAAGTTCTACAACAAGAACATAAACAAATTTTATTATCAAAAGAAAAAATTCTGAATGTTTATCGAGGTGTTAAATTTGATAAAGAAGAATTTAAGAAATTGAAAGAAAATCAAGGAAAACTCATTTCAACAAATGGTTACTTATCAACAAGTCGAAGAAAATCATTAGCATTACATTTTGCTATGAAACCAACAAAAAGAATCGATGTCGTATCCGTTCTTTTCCATATTCAATGTAATATTCAACAGATTAATCAATGTATTACTTTTGCTGATGTTAGTGGATTTAGTGAATATCCAGAAGAACAGGAAGTTTTATTTGATTTAAATGCTTGTTTCTTCATAGAATCGATTGAAGAACATGAATTATTAACAATAATAAAAATGAGTCTTTCGACTGAAGGGCAAAAAATAAAAAAAGATTATCTTGAATTAATACAAAAACAAACAGAAAAACAAAGTATTTTCATAGTTTTTGGAAGATTATTATGCGATATAGGTGAATATGATAAATCACTAAAATATTTTAGACAATTATTGAATGATCCAAACAATGAAGATCGTGCTTGGATTGAATTCAATATGGGACGAATTCTTGCTGTTAAAGGTGAATTAAACGAAGCTAGAAAATATTATGATCGTGCATATAATCGAATGATGAACTATAGACCAGCCCGTATCAAAGATTTTGCTCATATTTTCAACAATATTGGTGTTATTCTATATCAACAAGAGAAGTATGATGAAGCTCTCCACTATCATCAACAGGCACTAAAAATGCAAGAGCTATTCTATCCATCTGGCCATATCGATATTGTTCAAAGTCTTAACAACATTGGAAATATTTTCGATATTCAAAGAAAATATAATCAGGCTCTTACTTATCATCAACGAGTACTGAAAATTCAAGAGAAGTTTTATTCACCCGATCATGTTGATATTGCTAGGAGCCTGAGCAACATGGCTCTTATTTTCTCTGATCAAGGGAACTACGATGAAGCTCTCGAATATCATCAACGAGTACTGAAAATTCAAGAGAAATGTTATCCATCTGGTCATATCGATATTGCCTCTACTTTGAATAATATTGGTGTTTGTTATGAAGGTCAGAACAACCAAGATGCGGCACTTGACTACTACCAACGTTCATTGACTATGCATAAAAACTTTCTTCCTGTTGATCATCCAAATCGACAGAAAACTGAAACGAATATTCGTCGACTTACTGGAAAAGAGTGAACCCAATTAATAACACAATAAAGGATCAAACTATTTGAATGATTTAAAGATTTCATTTTTGTAGTAGAATGTTTGTTTGTGGGTGTGAGTGTGGATGTGTGATTCTTCTCAATCGATACCCATACTTACATCCACACCGCTTACACCCACATTCTCGATATATTTTTTTAGCAAATAAGTACAAGCCAAGATATTTATATACAGGGTGATAGAGAATTCCCAAGCACTATCAGAATATGAGATTATTATTTTTTAAATATAGCTTTATAGTGAAAATATCTTGAAAAAACTGTGTTCATCTATTTTTTTTTCTAGGGGTATATATATTCATGAATATTTGGTTTTAAATAAACCAGTGCATATTCATACACCTCCTTTTTTTTGGTATGAAATATAAATAAAGAATATCGATGGTTACGATCCCAGGGCGAACAATCGGACATTAATATCGGACAAGATTCTGCGTCTGATCATATATGATCTTGTACGATTTGGTATGAACCATATAAAAAATTGTAGTCTCTGAAATCTTACATCAATTCTTAGTGTAAGATTCTTGACAGACCTTGTTGTCTTGCCAAATCTTACTGTAAGATTATAGAAAATCTTCTGCGACAGTAAAAACTGACAGAGATCTGACAGTAAGAAGTGATGTAAGATTTCAGAGACTACGATTTTTTATATGATTCACACCAAATCGTGCAAGACTTACTGTCGGATTTTTTGACCTGGGATAGCATGAGAGTCATTGCATAAGAGATAAGATCTTGAGCCATAGAGAGATTCACAATCATAATCTCGGGTTCAAATTTCCCCTTCACTCTCATTCAAGGGCATTCAGTATAATTCCTTCAGGATTACAATGTTGATCCGCGATGCAGTTGATATTATAATCAGACAATCGGCCAATAATTTTCCTAACTCCTTGGTAATCATTACATTTAATTGCATAGACGAATAAATGACAAAACATTCACAATTTTGTGCTGTACACATGGTATTCTATAAACCTGTTTAACATCAAACAATGCACTTCCAAAGTGGAAAATATGAATATATTAATTTTTTTAAATTTATTTCGATTTCCATTCGATTTACTTCAAAAGCATTCGTTTATTGCAAGAGAGAAATGTATATTGTTCTCGTATAATCAAAAGTCAATAAAACGAGCGAAAAAACTTTCAACAAATAATTGGGTAACTGGCCATCGTGGCAATACCACATTGGTTGTTTTTGTTACGTGTCATTTTGATATAACCATGGTCACCCCAACTTGTACTCCAGCTGGAAACGATGGTAAACAAATAGTACAATATCCAATAAAATATCTAAAGCATAATGATTACCTGTTTTTCACGAGCCAATATTTTTTTCCCGAGTCTATACCGTAACCTATAACGAGAACACCATGATCAAGTTGGGTTTGTGAGCAAGCTGGTTCATTGTAGACTAAACAAATCGTGTAAAATGATAGTAGGAGATGAGAAGTGATGAAAAAAACACACCACCGCGTTCGTATAACTGAAATGATGAGTGACTGGCATCAATAGCAACCGATATTGGTCCAATAGTAGCAACGGCTTGTTGAAGAGCCGCTTCATCTTTTGATCTAATGTCAATGAATCCACAGACTTTGACAACAACCTTTGATGTATTGAATACACATCTCTTGTCAATGGCTTCATATGGATATGAATCTTCGGTTTCAATACCACCGACTCCTATGACATATTCGAAGGCTTGATCCATCAAACCACCATTACATCCCATATTACCATATGTACCAGAACAATCAACTAACTGTTGTTCAGAGAGTGAAACAAGTTTGCCAGTTTTAATGGCATATGCACTTTCGATTGAGCCAACTGCTGAGAAAGCCCAGCATGCTCCACATTGACCTTGATTTTTGACGGGCACAACATCACCTTTTTTACGCCAGTCTATTAAGAAAATAGTCAAATAGTTGTACAGATCGTAATTTCTATTCGTTTCGATACACACCAACAGTATCTGGTAATTCAACATTTGGATCTGATGTGAACGTTTGATAACTTTGCCTACGTTGTTCTTGCATTTTGCTGCTGAAACCATCCAATATTTTCACAAATTCATCGACAGTCTAGTTGCAAAACAAATTATCAACAAACTGTAGTCAAAGTGTATGGGATAAAACTTTACTAAATCAGCATATTTGTTCATTCCAAGCCAGTATGTGTGAATACCAAGATCAGCTTGAAGATTGTGTTGTTCAACTATCTTCAAATTATTTTCCCAGATAGCACGACTACAATTTCAGAGTTTAATGATCAATCTGATATAGAAATGAAGAACAAAATATTTCATACCGAAGGTGTTCTTCAGCATTAGAATAGTGTTTGTTGTGCGCCTCTTTCCATAGATTCCACTGTTGGTTGAGTTTCACATCGCGAGCCAATGTACAGCTGATAGTGAGCACAACAATTGTAAGAACTGAAATAGATTGCATCTAAATGTTTTGATTATAAGTAAAGACATTACTCTATCTCTCGATACTCACCTTCGTTGGATGAAAAAAAAAAGGAGTATGATTCAATCGTATCGTGATGAAAACATCTATACTGTCGCTTATCTTGGCTGACGCGCAGTGTCTGACCAATAAGTTTCATGCTGAAGTGCATCGTCACTTTGTATATTTAGATTGATATGATGATTTTTTCTCTGTTGATATCTTGTCAGCAAAAAAATGTTGATTCAGTCGAAAGTTACGTTTTTTCTTTTGCACATGCAAAACAGTATACTTAAAGTCTACAACTTATACATTGTTGCACAAAATTCCTTTAAGATTGAAAGACATTTTCAAATGAATGTGAGTTGTTTGTTGTCATTTCTTTTATTGATTCTAATAGTGTCCATCTGGTTATTCTGTCCTTTTTTATCTCATGTTTGTTTCAATTATCGAATAGCAGGAATATTTTAAGACATTTTATCTTGTCTCAGATAATGTGCATAACTCAAATCCAGTAAAACCGAATCTTTGGTAACTGATAAGTTTTCAATATGATGTGCTTCATACTATTGTTTTAGCGCTGTTAATACTGCAGTATTTTCTCTCTTATAATCTAGAGCATTACTTTCTGTTTTTTTTCATCAAAATGAAACGATCTTATCGAGACATGTCAAAGTCCTGTGAGTTCTGAACTCAAATATTGGCAAAAAGAAATAAAAGCTTGGCAGGTGCGACAGGAACGAGTACAAGAAGCTCAAAGAATCCATGAAACCCAAGGAGATCAAGGAACTCATCTGACTGAAAGGATATGCCTCCACCCTCATTTCCATCCTCACCCTCACTCACATGATATGTCCTCGTTCTCTTCCTCCCACAGCTAGGGTGTAGCTGTGAGTGTGGCTGTGTTATTCACTGCTCACCCATCCACACCTACACCCACATCCACATTCTCCTTGGTTTCGTGTGCAATGTACGAAACTTTTAAAGACCTAATGAAGTGAAGAATGGTTATGCATAAATAACACAGAACTTTCCACTATGCTACCGAACTAATGGTGGTTTTGTATAGTAAAGACAACACTTTTAAAATAACGAAGGAACTAATAATAGTTCCATAAAGATGTTAACAAACCTTTTAAAATTCTGCGAAACCATCAAAGGTTCAGCTTGTGACGTACGAAACCGCTAATGGATCCGACGAAATCGCGGAAAGTTTTGTGCGAAAAGCGCGAAACTCTATGAATTCTGCCAGACTTAAAAAGGTTCCGCAAAAAACTACGAAACGATTTTCATTTTTCTGAACCTAAAATGGTTCAGTGAAAAAATACGAAACGTTTAGAGTTCGGTAATAAACCTATATTTTTTTAGAGTGTACAACGTTATCAAAGAACATTCAGAAAGTTAAAAATAAAACAACAAGCAAAATACGATCGTCATATAATACAACGGCAATATAATGAAGGTGATCTTGTATGGGTAGCTATTCCAACTGGACAAATTGGAGAAAATTCAATAACTTGAAAATTATAACCTAATTATCAAGATCTATGTCGGTGGATTAAACAGTTAACATCTATTACTTTCACAGTGCGTCGCATTAGCAACAACGTGGACCTGGATACAACAAATATCGATCGTCTCAACCCATACATTGCATCAAACACATAAAATGTGAATATGACAACGACGATAAGTCATCAGGCAGCAGGTGACAGACAGGCGATGACACTAATTGACAATGATGACTCACTGAAAGACGATTTATATGTACAATATGTGCCGAAAGAAAAACAACAATCAGCATGTATCATACCAGTGCAACATCAAGTGTCAATTTGACGACGCAGGGTGCCGATACGATATATTAAGAATTAAACAATCAACAGATAGCATCAATGATGAATCGAACTTCAATGATACGATACGTTTAGAAGATAATGATGAACTATAAAGCTCAATAGGTACATCGTCAAGGATGGGTGTCCTACCTCGCGATCAAGTGTGATCAACAAACGGTAAACACTTGATTCATTCAGTTGATGCATTTAAAAAAATTTTGTTTACTAACTGCCTTCTTCACTTTCTTTTCTCTTCGATTTTTTTTGTCGTGCTCTGCTTGATCACTGATACTTCGGTCTTTTTGCATTCTCTTTTTTTGTATTTCCATTAGGGGATTAGAAATTTATTTTTCTTTTTTTCCTCTTGTCGTTTCTGTATACCTATACGTTCCTGTAATGAAAGTGATCAGACACTCACGAGTGTGTCTGATCTGAATGGAGGTGTGCCGATATGAACACTCATGCTTGTGTAATTAATATGAGTCTACTATAACTTTTCCTTTCACTCACATTGATCTTGTATTATCGTGCAATGTATATAAATATAGATGGTTATCTATTATACATTCAAATTCATCTATGTTCGTTGATATGCGCGATTCTTTCTCTTTCCTTGCTCTTTCGCTTCGGTTGATTAACTTGCTTCCTGTGGGAAGATGAGAACTATAAAAGGATGAAATAGATTGAAATAAAGACATACACGATAACACATATTGCCGTTACAAATGTCATATGCAACTAATCGAATCACTATGGGGACAAGCAAAAATCAAAATTCTTCGTACAAGATGCGGTTCAAAATGATTAGAATCTCATCCCACTAAATTTTGGTATCGCTCTATTCATAAAAATATATTTGAATCCATCTTAAGTGATATTTGATACTATCGTATGAAATAATTTTCATCAAATATCAATCGTATATGTGTCGTGTCGAAGTTACTTTCTTTCAACCAAATAAAGAATAACTATCAATTAGTGGACAATGTGATAAACGTTTTGTATATTCACAGATAATTTTTCAATTTAAAAATATGTATATTATTTTTTCGAATGTATAAAAGTTGTTAAAAAAAATTAATTTTTTTTGTTGAAATTTTATATGATTATTGATTTATGCTGACGATACTAATGCCCGTAACTAAAGAAAAAGATCTGTAGAATACTATACTCTGAGTTAAATAACACTGATTTTATGTTAATCAGAAAAATACTCCATATAAATACCAGTTAAATGCTCACCAGACTCAGACTCACATTCAGTCAAACGAAAACTTCACTTAACTGAATTTCTTAATACCATGTCTCAGTATTATGCATATATCAGTCCAGTATAAATTCTACCGGTAAAACAAATCTCAAAGAACAACATAGCAGACAAACCCCATAATAGTATTAGATAACGCAGTAAGAGGAACTTCCAACCTTGGAACGCGCTCAGCGAGATTTTATAATAAGGGCTTCATTTACAAGATTTATTATACTTATTTAAAGAGTCGAATCTACCTTTTACAGTATACAGTATATCTTGAGCGCACTAGAACAAAAACCACAGTTTGAAGCAAGAATTCTGTTCCCAGAGCTGGATTTTTTGTCATGATCTTGTCTTTGCTTTTAGTTTCTGTGAGTGGCTTCATTTATCTTTATTTTTAGTCTTGCATTTAATGGAAAATGAATAACTAGGTTCACAACAAAACAAAAATACAAATCATCCTTGAATAAAATTGATGAAGAGAACTATTTCAATTATTGGGTTATTGCTGTTTAACTCAGAGTATACAAAAAACAATTCATTTTTTTTATCAATTTCTATACATTCGAAAAAATAATATACATATTTTTAAAGTGAAAAATTATGTGTGAATATATAAAACGTTTATCATATTGTTAAGTAATTGATAATTATTTTTAATTTGGTTGAAAGAAAGTAACTTCGATACAACATATATATATATATATATATTGTTGATTCCACCTAACATGTGACATGTTTACATCGAGTTCTTCAAAATCGATTTTCATGTTTGAATTCGTGTGGAGCATAGTCTATAACTTGCTACGATAACAAAAGATCCACTATAAATTCTAATGTAGAAGAGATTAATGATTGACAAGATTGATGCCAAAAAGAATGGCTAATAATACATAAAAACACTGTCAATAAAGCTAAAATGTTTATCATCATATATCGTTAACGCAGAATTTGGGTGCTTAAGTGACATGAAAGGTTTTGTAGAGCAAACGTTGCTCTCTACGTTCATATATAACACTTTTCAGAGAAGTACTAAACATGCGCTATTTCAGCACGAAACCATTATCATAATTAATCTAGGTATTGTTATATAATAGTATTACATACTAAAAATTTTTGTGCTGAAATACTCGCTGAAAAGTATTATTATATGGGTATGTAGAGCAAATTTTCCTCTACAAAATTTTTTATGTCACCATGTATCCAAGTTCTGCGTTAATTATATATAATAATGGAGATTTTAGCTTTATTTACAGTGTTTTTATATACTATTAGCGATTCTTCGCATTCATCTTGTCAATCATTAATCTCTTCAACACTGGAATTTATAGCGGATCTTTTGTTATCATAGTAAGTAAATCGACTATGTTCTACATGATTTCAAACATGAAAATCGATTTTGAAGAACTCGATGTAAACGTGTCACATATATGATGAAATCGTCGATATATTATATTTATTTAATAAATTTGTTTTTTATTACTTCACCTCTTTTGATCTATTAATCTGGTATATATAGAGAGAAAGCCCGAAACACACTCTATCTTTTAGTATATTTATATTGAACATCAAATGCAGTTTATAATGTAAAAAGTGTATTAGAAAAAAAGTGATATTTGATTTTACTACAATACCGAGTGTTCATGATATATCTCGGCTTAGGTAGATGATAAAACCTTGGATATTTTTCAAAAGATGCATTATGAAAAGCTCTACAAAAGCTGTATGATTAAATTCCTTTTAACCTCTTGTAATGGTTTTTCTTATGCTCAACATGAACAACTTACATGGCAGTGTCACTTCTCATCATATCGAAAATATTTCGAGAACTTTTCTGATTCGCTATAGGATTTCGTCTATACAAGTTTTGTAGAGCTTTTCATGGCTCATCTTTTGAAAAACGAAATTCAAGGTTTTATTATTTATCTAAGGCAAGATATGTAGGAAATAAAAAATGTTTCAATATTATGGACACTCTGGAGTCAAAACAAATTTCAGTTTTTTTTTTCTAATACATTCTTTACTTTTTAAACTCTATTTAATGTTCAACATAAATATACCAAAAGATGCAGTGTGCTCCGGGCTTTCGCCGTATATCTAGCAGTTTAATAGATAAAAAAACAAAAAAAAATCAAAGCATATAAACTCATTTATCCTTGACTGTAACTTATATATCCTAAATCTCTTACTAACTACGTCTAAGTTACTGTTATTGAGATTGTTTTTAGTTACTTTTTCATAAGAGAAGATTTCTTATTAAGAAGAACACCGTCTATTAAGAGAAGATATATGAGTGAATTGCAACTTTTTGGTACGATTGGTGAGAAAAACTGAAAGTCGACATAAACAACTTTTGAGTAGTGCATTTTATTGTACTCTGTGCCTATGTTACATTAGCTGAGATATGACTTACTTCCATGTAAACGTATCGTACAAAAACATTATTTTATTGAAAAATGTATTTTTACATTGCATCATATAATATAAATATTTCGAGAACGGTGAAAACTAGACAGATGAAATTTTGATTATTTATGTAACTCTGAGACCTATATTTGTGATAAAAATTTGAGGAGAAACGGATGAACCGTTCGAAGATTATTAACAAACAAAGTTCTAAAAAGTCGACCTACAACTTGAGTCAAAATCTATACTCTTAAGCAATAATCTGTGTTTTTCACTATAAAGAAAAGCCATTCAGAAAATATTCTTTTTTACAATTTTGTTTATATTTTCATGACCTTTCTATTGCGCACCTTCGTTTTCTTTCAGCTTTCACACGGACCAAAAAAATGTAAAGAGAAGGTCGATCTACATGAAAATGGCAAAGTGTCTGTAATAACGTATGTAGACTAGACAGATATAGAAAGGAAGAGAAAAAAACATAAGCTATATATCATTTGATAGAGCTTTTAAAGGGCTACAAACCAAACTATTCAATATATTTTTTTCTCTGTTCTTTTATGCTCAAAGAATCTCTTTCTCTGAGCACATCTCCATGAAAAATACGTTTTTTTTCAGTGTAAGAGTCATTACTCTCCGACTATGAGTTAGAGAGCTGAAATTTTGTATGGCCATGAAGAGCTTAGAGACTAATAGCATATAAAAAATTATTTAAATTGGTCAATGAGAAAAAAAAATTATTCAAACATACAGCTAAAATTCAATAGTACCAAAAAGTTGCAATTCACTTATATATATATCACATATATGTATAAATCAATTATCGCGTGGAAAACTTTTTCTATGAAAAGGAGCACCAGCTATAATGATATTATTAATTAACGATGGAGTACATGCTACAGGAATACAGTTGTTTTTCACTTCCTATATATTAGTAATTAAAAAAAAATCGTTAGTAATTGTTGTGCAAGGAATCGAATTTCGAAATAAAATGATGTATTATGTTTGGTGGCTGTAAGATTACTTTAAAAAGTCTACGTGTCAAATATGAAACTCAATGGACCATAAGAAAACTTGAAAAATGCTATCATTCTATCTAGGCATTATCATTAGCCATGATAGGTATTAATTATTGTTATTATTGACTTGGATGATTCTCGACATCATTAATAACTAATAAGAAATGTATACTATAAAAATTTGATTTATAGTAATGCAAAAATATTTTAGTTGTATAGATATTACCGTAAAGTATTGTTTTTCGGTCGAATATGATTCAGTTATGGACAATACCTTAAAATTTATCATTCTACCATTCAGTTTCGATTTTCACTGTTTAGGACATTTTAGTTAGTTGAAAGCAGAAATATTTCTGTATTGATTTAAGTCAATGATACATTCTTTTAGACCTGCACTGTAAGTCATTACAATGGTACGAATAATCGAAAGATATACATTTAATTGATATTAGTTTAAAAACCGAGTTGTAAGCTTAGCTAGAAGTGAAGGTGCTTTTTGTTTTTATTTTGAGTATTTTGTTGAAGTGACTATGAGATTTGAATATGAAAGTTTCATTAAGAGTGTTAGGAGTACTTTTCAGAATTGCAAAATTATAGACCTGATAGATTCTATTATTGATTTCTTTTGTCGACATTTTATATTTCTGTATTAGTAAAAAAAAACTCTACATTTTGTCTCTTTAGTTTCAAAGAACATGTTTCATACATTTCAACGACAATTAAAATTATTTCTGTTAATCATATGTTACTGTTTCAATTTCACAAGTAAGTTAATGAATTTCTTCGGAAACGGCAACATAATGAATATTAGTTGGAGGTCCTGCTCAACTTCGTTTATTAAACTATCTATTGTCGAATAATCGATACACATCAATTGCACGACCTGTTCAAAATGATTCTCACACATTACCTGTCACTATGAATTTATCTTTACAACAAATCATCAGTTTTGTAAGTGAGATTAAATAACATGTTTTCTATGTTTTCTTCACTCTTGAAAATATGAATAGGATGGAAAGAACGAAGCTGTTGTTATTACTGGTTGGATGACTATCGTATGTGTACTTAGTTATAATGTGGGATGCAACGATAATAATTAGGCTAAATACTAGTTTATACCGGCTTAGGGTGTACTTGGTTTTTCGAAAGTGGCGGCTTTTTTTTATCAAGCTTGAGCAAACATGATCAGGATCGAGGAATCTGAATGTGCAATCGACTTTTTGAAGTTCTGAGTTTGATTTTCTTAGTAAAGGATATTTTTTTTTGTAAACAAATGAATTTTTTAAATTGGGGTTAGCAGAAAATTTCTTTTTACTAAAAATATTTTTTTTGAAAAGCAAAATGTCTGCAAAAAATGAAACACTTAACTTCGAGAAATCAATGACAGATTCGGATTTCTTCACTTCAATTGTCTGTGGCTCAACTCGATAAAAAAATCCTTTACCTGACCAAAAACATCCAGCTCAAAATTTTGAAAAACCGACTACATCCTAAGCTGCCATGGGTCCGTATTAACTATTATTAACCTAATACCGGTTACTGGTAGGACTGGTTCCGGTTATCATCATCGTTGCATGCCTAGCTGTAATATCTGTGCTTATTGTTCATATATATCTGTATAGATGTGGAATGATTATAGTTTAAGATGGGTACCAGAAGAGTTTGGTAATATTCAAACACTACGAATACCAAGTACACAAATTTGGACACCAGACATTTTCCTATACAACACGTTATTATTTTTCAAACAATAGATATCTTGAAAGACTATTTGTTTTTGTTTTCTGTTTAAGTGCCGATGAAAAGTTTGATACGACAGTGAAAGTCAATGTTGTTGTGCAACATAATGGCGATATTTTATATGTTCCGCCCGTAGTATACAAATCAAATTGTCCATTTAATATTGCCTCATTTCCATTTGTAAGTATCAAAAAATATGTCAGTCATATCGTACTTCTATCTTGAATGTTTGTCTTTTTTTTTTGGATACACAATATTGCACGCTGAAATTTGGATCTTGGACATATGATGATGCTGGTATGTGGTCGAATCATTTTTTTTTCTAGGATGAAATGCTAAATGCTTCTGCATATTATATGTATCTTTCTTACTTAGGAGTCCATCTGATGGCAGAAAGTAGCAAAGGTCAATTGGATGCTTACGTCAAAAGTGCTGAATGGGATCTAGAAGGTAGTTGGTATGGATTATGTACATTTTATTCTATTCATTCTTTTTTAGATTTCTTTGCAACAAATAATGTCACCAAATACGACTGTTGTCCAAATATGTATCCATACGTACTATACACTATCCGAATGCGTCGCCGTTCTCTTTATTATTTTACAACTATTATTGGTAATAATATATAAATTACAACATTTTTTTTTCTAATATTTGCATTAATATTATTATTTTTTTGTGTCATAGTACCTTGTTTTCTTATCAGTTGTATGACGCTACTTGGATTTTTATTATCACCGGATAGTGGCGAAAAATTAACCTTACGTGAGTTAGAATTGGATACTGAAAAAATTGTTCTTATACATTCTAAATCTTCAGAGATTACAACTCTTCTAACTGTTGTTATGTTCAGTTTACTTCTATCGGATATTCTTCCACCAAGTTCAACTGCTATACCGATTATTACCATTTATTTCATGTGTGTTATGATAATGTCAGCAGTCTCAGTTGTTGCATCGGTATTAATATTATCACTTCATTTTCGAAACTCTAGTAATTATACAATGCCATTATGGGTAAATTATATTTCAAAATGAGTAAATTACATGATTTTAGAAATCATTTTAGATTCGTAAATATATTTGTAATTATATGGCGTGGCTCTTACGTATGAAGCGTCCTAATCATGATTTGAGTTGGAGTGCGATTGGTCGTCGATGGGCTTCTCCAAAACAGGAACCAAATAATATAAATAGATCAATCGATAATCATCCTTCTAAGATTTCTTCTGAATCATCATTGAATAATATATTCGAGTTGCTATCAACCAATGTTATAAGTGTCGATAAAAGACCTTTAGAATTCTCTGCATCTCCAGTAATGAAAACTCATGGTTCTTGTCATCATCAGAATACATCTAATGAATCGTATACATGTGATATGGAAATGATTCGTTGTGAGTTACGTGTTATTATTTCTCAACTTGCTATTCTTATTAATTATTCTCGACAGAAAGAAAAAGATAATAATGAATCTCAAGATTGGCAATTTGTCGCAATGGTCCTCGATCGTCTTTGTTTAGTGATTTTTGCTGTAATCATGCTTCTTTTTACTGCACGTACTCTTTTCAACGTTTAACTTTTTTTTTTAACTTTAATTTATTGCTTTTTTATTTGCTATTAAACCAGATTTTATCTAAACCTTTTCTTTTGTCTTAAATATATATGTTTTAATAAACTCTATAGAGAAAATACTGACAGTTATATACAAAACTATTCGAGATCAATGAATCTGAACAGCGTAGAATGAATTAATGATATCTTGTATGATAGCATGGATTTTTTTTCTGTAGTTTGTCTTTCAATAAAGATGAATATTCGATATAGAATAGTGCCAATAACAGCTGATATATTTTTGATTTCTAACAATATTTTCTTTCAATTTTATTATTATCGTTAAATTAAGTATATATTTGATTGTTTTTTCAATTTTTGAAAATCACATAAAAAGATTATGTTTCTAATTTCGTGTATGTAGAATACTGCGAAAAATTAATTTTCTAATATTTTGACTCTATTTTAAAAAAGTAAGTTTCATCAACATTTAAACATCGTTTGATAGATGATCAATTTTATTTCGAATATGAGATTTTCGCATATTTTATAGAACAAAATTATCAATCTACTGATTGTGAAGATACAAAAAATGATACCAATAAATTACAAGAATGTTCGAATATCATTATCTATAAAATTAGGTAATCTTACATTTAGAATTGTAGATTTTGTATTTACTCATAGTAAAAGACAACTTCTCTAAAATTATTTTATTTTAAGTGATTTTTGATGATCAAAAATCTCCAACTCTTTTAGAATTGATTGACAAGGAAAGTCAGAGCATATATATTATAAAATTAAAATTAACTAAGCGATATAACATTACTGATATTGACAGGGAAATATTATTTTTACTAATTGTCCTACTCTTATGAAGAGAGATATGTATTGGATAGTGAATACATCACTACTATCGGAATAGGTCAACTCATTTTAAAAACTTAATCACTTTCATCGAATTTTACTGATTTAAATTCAATTAATTTCATCAATGTTATAAGACACTGCTCATAATGATCTAATGAATCAAAAAAAAAATGCTCTCACGATTACAATATATGTTTTATAACAAACCATTAAATATCGAAAAATTGGTATTTTCAGTATACAAAAGAACACAAGCATCATTAAAAAATAACATATTAATCAAAAGCTTTATTTAATAAAAAATTAAAATTAATAAAAATAATATCTATTTAAGATTAGGAATGAGTAAATCATAACTAACAAATTGTCTTCCATCTCGATGTTTATACGTACTTTCTAACCAAAATCGAATTCTTAAATTATTACTTCCAATTTGTCGTTGATCTGTTTGAATTTGTTCTTGGCATAGTTTTTGATGAGAATGAGAATGAATCGGAGGTTGTTGACTACCTTTACCTTGTTGATTGGAGGTTGGACCTAAAGTGGTTGGTACAACAAGATTGTCTTTAGATGGAAAACAATGAAGACATGATGTTTGAACAACAGTAACATTTGATGAGATTATATTTGAGCAGTGTTCGAAATAACACCAATTTCGATTCGGACGAAATTTTTTATAAATTACTTTTCTTCCATTTTCGGGTCTTCGTTCAAAAAAATCAATTAATTCTTCTTCAGTATCATCGATTGGATTCCATTTAGTTTTAAAATAATGAACAGCACGTATAGCCGTTTTCGATGGAGGTATATTAACAATAGCAGATGAAATAATTTGATACATTAATCTAGCATCATTAATTGGTAATGGTCGATAAGATCCTCTAGTTTGAAATCGACCAATACCACAACAATGAATATCACCACTAAAATAAGTGATTCGAACTTTTTTCTGTTGAGAAATTTTTTGAAAACGAAGAAGAGCATGATTTCGTTCTTCAATATGATCTATATGAGTCCATTCATCGAGAAGATCATCATAAAGTTCAGGTAAACCAAAAATTGAATTAGTTTGTTTAACAACTGGAAATTTTCGCCATTTATTCGGAAGATTTTTTAAACGTTCATAAATTGATTCAGCAATATGAACACGAATGAATGAAAATGGAACAGGAAATAAAACAATTAAATGTTCAACATCGTCCAAATTATTCATAAGTTTATCAAAAATCATATCCCAAGTTTTTTCATGTTGAATAGTTTTTGTATCACGTTCAGTTCGTCCATCAGCACCAATTATCGCTAAATATCGACCACAACGAGCAAAAAAATTATATCCTTGATATCCAAACATTTGATGTTCTTGAGCTTTTTCCAATGTAGTATGATGTTGAAAAAGAAGTCGCATTTTTTGTGCTGACAGAAATAATCCCATCATAATTGGACTATCGTGAAGTAAAGGAGGATAAGATCCTGCTCCATCGAAAATATCATGATCATCCCACATCATTAAATTTGGAATTGATGTTAGAGCTTTTTTTACTTCAGGACGACAATCCCAATTTTCTGCATAAGTATTAAAATGATATTGTTCAACTTGTTTTTTTAAATCATCTCGAAAATCAATAGTCCATCTTTCATTCCATTTCATATTAATCCAAGCACGAAGGAATGGAATATCATCAAACATAAAATCAATATAATTTTGATCACCTCCCCATAATAATAGATGTAATGGAGTTTCTTCATGAATTGAAAGAAGATGATTCCAAACATTAGAATAAGTAAAATTTGATGCTACTTGTTCTGGAACATATGCATCAAATCCATTACATGAGAAGAAACCTCCACGCCATTTCTGATTAAGACGAGCAATGATAAATGAACCATTAGTCTTCTTATCACCCCAATCGATTTTCCAAATGATTTTATCATCACCTTCACCAGAACGTAATTCAATGAAAATATTAACACGATAAGCACACAAATCAAAGATATTTTCGTATAAGATTTCCCAATTATAATCGACTTTTGTATCACATATAAATTCAATGTTGGGTTGATCGAATGAAACATGTCGAAATATTAATGCACTACCCATCCATAACATTTTATTTAAATCAGTCGAAATAAATTGCAAATAAGGACCAAGTGAGAGTCCAGGAGATTTAGGTGGATGATTAATTGTAGATGATCCATTAGCTGCTTCCATAGATGAAGGTAATTCAGGAATTTTTGAAATTGTTATTTTGGGTGGTGGATAATCACCCATAAATTGAGGATTGACATTAACTGGATTCGGTGCATTAATCTTCAAATCACCATATTTATCTTTTATACCATTTTTAACGTTGTTCCAATTTCTATTTTCCATCTATCATCAAACAATTAAAAGAAAGAAAAAACTCGCATTAGTTTTCTTTTTCAAAATATATACTGACATTGAATAGAAATTATTTTCCACGATATTTGTTGGATATGGTCGGATGTAGTTACTTTTGTTAATAAAAAGAAATGTTTAGGAGTACAAAAAAAAGGTTCGTTATCAATATGCATGCAGTATATTGTGTATTGATAGATTCTTTATTATTACTTACGTTTTTGTTTTTGTTTTTATGATGAAGAGAGTGACAAAAAAAAGGCGTTTTTCATAGCTGTGCGAGATAGGTCAAAGAGTGTAACTCAGTTAGATGATCTTCTTTATCGTTCTTTCATTTAGAAATGACTCATTCAGTCAAAGAGAACGAAGAAAAGCTCTTTGTCAATAAATATTTATAATTCCAACGTTAAGAAGTGTGTTAAGTAACGTAAAAAAAAAATGTTCATCACTATTGTTAATGTGTTATACGACGATTATAGATAATGTTTCCTTCTATTTACAAGAAATAATCAGCTCTAAATAACACAAAAAATCATCTATTTCTCATAGTACTGGGAGTTGTCTATTGTGCTGTATTGCCTATGTAACCATGAAACGCATTTTGTTTCACGATCACGTTTAGAGAAAATTCATAGTTGCGGACCATATTTTTAGACTAAACGCATACAAACGTATTTAATCTTTTATTATGAAACGCATTAGAACACACTCATATCATTCTATGCCTCTGATCACGTTTAATGGAAAAAAGAAGCTATGTCTCTTCCACTAATGCTATTTAATGGACAGAGTCAATAAAACGCTTTTCACTCGATGCTTCTATCAATCTGTCGAATTTGTGGAAACGTAGTTGAATATATAGTTATATAGTTTAGTTAGTGAGGATAAATACTATAAAAAGGAAATTGTGTCCGTGCGAAAATGCGCCCATGAGTCTGGCGTGTTACACTTTCGTTGCAATGGTATTGTGATTGCAGCAAATTCTATTGTGTAATTATATTAGGTTTAGAAGGTAGTAGCGGAAAGAAAAAAAAATTGACTCTTCTAAATCATTTGGATAAACATATCAGCTTTCTATTAACTCATGTGAACAAGAATAAGAAGTCGAAGAATATTTCTATAAATGGTTCTTTATGATACATATTTTAAACATGATAATTTTTTTCAGAAATATCTCTTTAATTTTTCAATCGATAATAATTATCTTGTTTTCGTTATTTCTGTGTGCAGTGATTCAAAATCATACAAACTCCTCATATAAGTCTACAATAAGGACCTCATTAGTAGATGTTATACGAAAATCTATCTATTTTTATTGAAATTAGAATAACTCAATGATATTCTGCTTATCACCCATGTATTCATGCTTAAACTCCTAAAGCGTACCTGAATGTCTACAAGCTATGCACCTTGGCACGTTTGAACACATCCAAAATGCAACATTTTAAGGCGTGTGAACACGTTCCTGTTGAAAACACATTAATATACGTTTTCTGGCTTTTCTACTTATGATACTGTTATGAGATCAATGCGTTTACTTTATTCTCAAAAAAAGTCAGAAAATAATCGTCACTTTTTATTGGAAACAAATTGGAGTTTAGCATTCGGACTGTATCACTATCATAAAAATATAATTAAATTGGGTTCGATTTAACAGAATAATCATAGAAATCAGTACGTCTATGATAATGGATTGTTATCTGTAGATATTTTATTAAAAATATCTAATTTTTATCGAAATTATATGTCTCGCTCTACATTACTTCTAAAATACTTAAGAATGGGCAGACGGTAGATTATAATCTTAAAGTTGTTACCCACTTCATCATTTATTTCCTAGACAAACAAATAAATCCTTTGAATATGATACTTAAATTGTTCCAACTATTTCATTTTATCGGAATTTTACAAGCACTTTTTTCAAATAGAATTGTTGGCTTATCTGTATTGTGCTCTATAATAAAATGACTCAAAATGAAACTTTTAATATCATACGAAAGAGTGAGTATAAGACTACTACAATATACATTTCTCTAAATGTTTACTGAAAAAAAAA